TATTATTATTTCGTTGAAATATTAAATACAGTCTTGTCCTGATGTCAATACGAAGAATTGAGTCTCGCATTTTGATGTTAATATATACGCGAATCTACACGGCGAAAAACACGAGAATATATGGTCGGCTACGCTGAATTTACAAACATAACTGTTTAACGTGATAATTTCAGATGACAGATGGCCGCATTTAGTCGTAATACTTCTATATGAATATTCAAATAGTACATGTGTATGTGTGCCACAAATACTCGGACGGTTTCACGAATACTTTCTCGTTCCTTATACTCACATATGCGTGCTTTTCGCAATGCTCTGTTTGACGAACATACAAATCGTCTATTACGTGTAGTTCCGCGACAGTACGTTTATACTTACTTTCGTCGACTATCGAGTGCCGAAGCCAAATGAGTATCGAAAAGGTGTGACATTTATTCAAGAAAGAACATAAGTATATACCTGGTATAAGTAAAATATAATTATAAAAATACAAGAGTAAAAAATAATCAGTCTTTGCTTACGTCGTTGTTTTAAAGTGATATGTATGAATATAGAAGTACGATTTGTATGTTGTGAATTACCATTACTTTTTGATAATGTGAAATAATTCCTGCGGATGGTTTCACTATAATGCAAATATTTGTTACGAAAGAAAAGCAATGTATAGAGGAAAGTACCCGATTATGAGATACCATATTTATTTTGTGTGATTGCCGGAAGTCTATGGGCAGAATTGAAAAATATAGTAGGTCATTTTGAAGGGAATTTAATAAGCTTTAAGATGCTGAAATGTAAAATTTAATTTAAATATTAATTTTGCTGAAAATTAGAAAAAGGTGAAAAATAAGCTTTCGGCAAAATCGCAAAAGTGTGCTCCTAATATGAGAAACCCCGGGAAATCGCTAATAAAGTGCAAAATACATCAGTATTACTATTAAAAACCTTTATTTAATGTTTCTCAAATACACATGTGATGCAGAAGCTCATTTGCAATAATCGCAAACCCACTTATACTCAATATTGTACCAAATCTTCCCCCTCCACCCTTCCCTCTCAAATCAAGGTCAGCAAAATTCGTATAAACCTTCCCTTAACGTTAAAGTATTTTCTCTTCTTTTATTACTATACAATAACTTTCATACTCCAGCAACCCAGGAGTGCCCTGAGTATCTCATGTTACGAGCACCACGCCTTGCGGTTTCGCGATCACCAAATTTAATCTCTACAATTGAGCAACTCAACATATTCCGTATTTTCCTATTAATACGACCTTACTCTATCGCTGCATGCAGAACTTATTGCCAAATATTTATTAATTAAATAAAAAACAAGGTTTAAAGACTCATATCCATGACACTTGACAACACCCAATTTCACAATTTCTTTCTCTGCAACGACTACACGCACGATCAAACAATGAATTTTTCACTAAATAGGTTTTACCCCAAAGGCAATAAGTTCATGGTGGAACCAACAAATAGGGCCTATTAGTTTAGCAGAAACCTCGCTGTCGCATATTAGGAGCCTATCTCATAATAGGGGACTTTCCTCTATGCAAATGTTGATTTTATCACGGTAATTAATTTAATGATTGGATTTGGGAGCAGGATGACTTGGAGTAAAAACCTCATAGTCGATTACCGAGAAATGATAGTCCCCCATGAGCAACTGATTAGATGCGTGATCCCCGTCGTAACTATGCGGCAGATTGCTGTAGCTCTCTTTGTTGACATTGCAGTTGCTCGATATAAGCAGATCAGCTCCGGCACCGAAGATTGGCCCTATGCTGCAATAGATTACATTAAATCAAAATTATTTTAAGAACGCGGCGGCCAAGATCTTCTGTAAAAATCGCGGCAGTCCTTACTCCGGATGGTAGCAGATCGCGAATGATTTTTTCACGATGTCAAACTTCGTCGGCGGTACGTCTTGATTATTCGTCAACGTGAAAAGGAAACTCTTTTCCGAAGCGATGTATTGCGCCTTCGAGTTAGTTTTACCCCACGGAACATCGCTGAATCCTCCACATATCTCGCCGCGCACTCCCTGAAGTATAATATAAAGACCTTTGTAGCCTTTTGTAGCTAATATAAAAAAGATCTAGATGAAAATTCTGTACTCACCAGCACTATCACGTACGTCGGGCAAACGTTATCGCAGTGCCGATGAAAAGACGCCGCTGAGTAGCCATGAGTCGACGCTCTAGAAGTAATGGACAATGGATTATAAATCGTACAATATGAAATGCGTGACATATTATTGCATTTCCTGCGTATGATAGAATGTAATTTATTTTACGTTTTTTCAATTATTAGATTGTTTTATAAGCATCAACATTTTTTGTACAGTTTCTACAATTATCGATATTCAAAATTGTTCAATAAATTGGTACAATACTATGTACACTCTACCGGCAGGAATGCCTGGACATAATACATATACATATACATGTACATATATGTCATATACATATCAAAATGTTCAGGCATTCCTGCCGGTCAGTGTACAGAGCACTAAAATTCGAGAGAAATTCGATAGAAATAAATTAAGAATGTAGATCGTGCAAGAAGTTCAGCTAAATAGAACAGGCGTATTGTTATACTGATCGTGTTGTCATCTTGTTTCGCTTCTGAAGCATTTTCTGATACTTTTGAAACCTACCGATAGACCAACCGCCAGCCCTGTTTCGACACGCCGTACCACTGATTCAGAACCCGCTGGAAGCCGACCTTGTCCCTGGAAAGGATCTGCGAGCCCGGGAAGAGAAACGGGCTGACTCGCGGCTGCAATCGCTTGTCGGAGCACACCTCCGAGTACTTGCTCGGCAGAGCTGCATACCTATACCTAAAGCGAAACGTCGAGATCGAAGGCGATACCGCCAAACGGTGAGTGCCGCCCCGTTAGATCGTACCTTAGAAATTTCGAGCCGCTCGATCGATCGGGATTGAAAAATTCGTACCTCTCCAACGACATCTCTATCGGCACCGCGCCCGTCGGCTCTACCTCCTCCGCAAACACCTGGCTGTCGATCAACAGTAACCGCACGTGATTTATCACACCGGACAGGTGCTGGCATACCCTCATGCGCTCTTCCTCGGTCCAGTGCTGCGTGGGCTGCGTAACTCCCGCCTAAGAGTATCATGTTTATTAATAAAAAGTTTGTAAAAAAAATCGTCTAATTTCTAATAAATAAATTCGGAGTAGTTTGAGAAGTAAAATAAGACTTAAAAAATAAGCGAACCTGATATTTCGCCCAATTCAAGACAGCCCGCCATACGTCCTCTTCTTCCAAACCGAGATAATCCGACGATATCAATTTCACTAAAGCATCCTTTGGAAGATTGCAGAATGCTGTCGTCTTCACCGTATCCATAGCATTTTCTCCGATAAAAGCGAAACATTTCTCGATAAAAGATGAGCAAGCAGCTTTTCCTCCTAGAATACAAGAATGAACAGGAATAGAAAAAAATGACACAGAATAATTTTAATATACGAGTTTATCCCAGAAAATATTACTGTCAAACGATAGATAATCGTTTAGCTTGATAATCATTTAAATCTTATTTAATGTTAAGTAAAATTTTCTGGGATAAACTCATAGATTTTGGAATCGCTTTAAATTTAAATGATTAATGAATCCAAGAATTTTACAAAAATTTAAAAAATATTTATACATACAATTTAAAACAATTATTCTCAATAATTCTTAGTAAATAAATAGTAAATAAGTATTTTCACTTTTTATAGTATCTTATATGCTCATATCTTTTTGCAGAAAGTTTTTGAATGGCAATCTTTATTAAATTGCTTTGCTTTATGAATACATATTAAACATTACCCTCATAGATATGTTACGTTATTTCTGTATTTTTCTTCGTAGATTATTTTTTATATCCGGATGTTAGGATAGATAAAAATAAAAATGTTTTTGAATATAAAATTATTTAATAATTGTTTATATACATTCCGTTTATCCTGTTTGCTACTTTTACATAGTTCAAGTTTATAGAATGGATTTTCACAAAAATTATATTTCAATGCAACGTATAAAATAAATTTTCTGTGCCTCCAGACAGCACTCACAGTATACAACTATATTACTGAAACTATATGTCCCCGTATGCATGAGTTAAATTAGATATTGGGATGTGTGCGTTTATGTAAAACACCAAGTGATCCTTTTCTCACAAGACTTAAATGTATCTCGCATTCGCTGAGACTCGCAGAAACTTTTATCTAAACAGCAAATACAAATCTCCATTGATACATTCATCAATTCACGCGATACATTTCTTTTAGCACGACTAAAGAGTTATTTTTTTCGCGTTCAACAATCTTCCTGAGTGTTTCTCTCGTGTAGAAGAGACCCCGCGTTCGGAGCCCAGTCACATCCGGCGTCCGTCAAAACTCAACGCCGTGTTGGAGGTTAAGGTTCCTCCTTAGTTCACCGTGGGATTGGTATTCTGTATCAGCGTGATATTGTCGCCCTTCAGCATGATCCTGCCGAGCGGCTTCCGGTTCTTCGTCTTCGTATGGTACTCCTCGGCGTCGTCCAACACCAGGTTCATGTACTCGTCGAAGCCGACGATGTGGCCCTCGATCCGCAGGTTCACGTTCTCGAACAGCCAGACCTGCACGCGCGAGCGATTCTGCAGGTAGCGGAATATCAGGTTGATGGGCTGGACCATCACCTTCTGGACTTTCTGCGGCCCCTTGTACGACATTTTCACGCCGGTACTTGAAAAACTGATTGACGAACAGCGAGCAATGTATCTCGCGTGCGTGCCTTCGGAAGCGTGCTGCGTGGGACGTGGGACGCCGAATAGATTATGGCGGCTGGCGCAATAATATGGGCAATCCGGCAATATGGCGTTCTCAACAATGATGCCAATTGTAACAGCGCTGCTCGACCCTAGTCACTTTCGATCTCGCAAAAATCACCACGATATCAAAAAATATGTACATATGTTCTGATAAATAATTATTAATAATAATTAATTCGACGATTGCTGACCGTTTCTGGCGTTTACGAAAATATATTATCTCAGAAATGTTACTTTGACGTCAAATAGTTGTTGCAATTTATTTGAGTGGGATTTAATTGATCACGTCGTCAATTGGTTAATTTAAAAATTAATTTAGAAATATCTGATTGGCTGGTCCAGTGGAAAAACTCCAGGCACTGGGGGCTGTGAGTGGCTGTGGTCAATCGCAACGTGATCAAACGAGACGCTCCCATTTATTTTGACATTTTGAGAATCGCCATACAATTTATCTGTATTATTTATCTAATATAATATATTTACAAAATATTAATTAATTAAGATTGTAATAAAATTACAAATAAATTTGAACAAAATTTATCAACTGCAGATCTTTGATAATAGTATCATTTATTCATTTTGTCGATATCTGTGATATCCTGATATCTTTCGTTATCTCAGCGTGTTTTGCGTTATTCAAACACTAGTAACTTGCGCTCTTGTCAGATGGCGCCATGTAATACCAAAATGTGTGTGATTTACATTTTATATTTTATCCAACCAATAAGCTTCGTTTCTACAGTTGTTACTTGTTATTAATAAAAAAAATTATATTTTATCGTTCTTGATACATACAAATAGTCCCATCATAAAAATTTTAATTTTAAAGTATACTTTGACGAAAGATTTAAGGCCATTGCACGTAACAAAGTTTTAGTTGTAATCGTAAGGCCATAAGAAAATAGACCAATCACAATCGATTAGTCTTCTCACACTTGAAGAATAATCGAGTGTGATTGGTTTATTTTCTTACGGCCTTACGATTATGACTAAAACTTTGTTACGTGCAATGGCCTTTACGAATGGTGTAACACTCAGGGCCGATTGTTCCAACCCATATTGATAAGCTAAGGGCTGGTCTACAATGGATATGGTAAGTTGTGAGTCGTAAGAATTGACCAATCACAGTCTATTATTCTCCTTGCGGCCGAAGAATAATTAACTATGATTGGCCAATTCTTACGACTTACGACCTACAACATCCATTGTAGGCCCTAATAGTTAAATTATGTCTATCTTTGCCTAATGTAAAGAATAAACAAAGACATATATATGATTTAACTATTATAGGGCTGCGTTCCGATATTCACTGTCAGTACTGAAAATCTATAGTTTACATCACGTATACTATAGATTTTTAGTACTGGCAGTGAATATCGGAATGCAGCCTAAAGCCCGGTCTACAATGAGTTGTATCTTAAGTCGTAAGTCATAAGTGAATCGACTAATCAACGTAAAGTATTGATAAAATGACAACTCAGCAGTCTTCTACTGAACGCGACTGTGGTCACAACAGCGTCGTATCCCTGTCGTAAGTCGACGTCATAAATATTGGCATTTGGCCAATATTTACGACGCGGTTGTGACCACGGTCGCGTTCAGTAGAACGACTGCTGAGTTGTCATCTTACCAACACTCTACGTTGATTGGTCGAGTCACTTATGACTTACGACTAATTAAGATACAACTCATTGTAGACTGGGCTTAAGTAGTTTACTAAAAGGTAAACAACCGGCCTTCAATGGTGTAATTATTGTTATTCTATATTTTATTCGCATCACTATTAAATTAAAATGTGCATTACATTTTTTTCGCCTTTTTTTATAATCAATTTTGAGGTATTTATTTATTTAAATCTTTATAAAGAACGTCGGATAAAACGTCGTTGATCGTTGTAGTTTGCGAGAGAAAAGTATCTATTAATTTTTATCACGAATCTTTCCCCCCCCCCCCCCCCAGAGGCCGATATTCATAGTCGGTTCTTATTTCAAGACCGTCTTAAGTAATGTCTTAAGATGCTATAATACGGCTCTGTAATTGGTTCATAAATTCATAACATCTTAAGATCGTATTTAATTTTTAAATAAAACCGACTATGAAATACCGGCTATGAATACCGGCCCTAATTGTTCGCATTTCCAAATTTACAGATTCGAATATTTGTGCGCGCGTCCGCCCGGCCGCCATGACAGTCTCGTCGACGCTTTCGGTTCGGAAGGCGAACTTGAATGCTCCGCAATTAATCGCAAATTTAATCGTTGAAAGTGGGTAACGAGCGCGAATTTCCGTCGGGAGTGTCGATTAAAGTGATGGGCGATCATCGGAACGTATCGGTTGTCGTGGATCTTCGCGATCAACGCCGTTTGACCGGCTCATTCGGCAGTGCGTCGCGGCTTGAAACCGCGATGCTACAGTGAGTACAGATTCCGATGCGATTGGCACACGAAGATGATTCTTAAGTTTCTTTGAATTAATTCGAAATCTCTCTCTCAAAGTCGAACTAATTTGGTCGATGAAATAATAACAAAAATGCTGACAAGATAGCATCAAAGATTGAGACACTTTAAAAATTAGATGTATCATATAAAAAATTGAATTTTATTATATTTCATATGCACTATTATGTTTAATAGAAAATTTGTTACTAAAGTATATCACATCAATAGATAACGTCAATATGCGAAAGTTTTATCAAGCAAACTTACAATTAGATCACTGTCTAATTCTATCAATTAAAAACGTTTAGATTAGAAAGTATAGTTTATTCTGTAATTGCATTATAAATTGTAGTAAATTGTAATCTTTATAAGATCGTATGTACATACTTATATACATGAGTTAATAGTAATTGACAAAGATCGCGATCATTTTAGCATTATCCGTGGTCAATTGTTTTGTAAATCAAATAAGTTAATTGTATGTATAATACCTACTTGTAGGTCTGCAATAATATCGTATTTCTTACATAATGATGTGCATAGATCTGTTGAAATCTTGTATTTTTATCTTTTTATCTCGCTTTTTATATATTTATAATCGAGATTTTATTTTATCTATTATTTTATTTAAATAAAATAATAATTTATCATAGCGTTTATAAATATATTACTTAATAAAAATCATAATAATGTAACTTTTTATTATCTTTGTTTTTTGTACTTTTATTTTGTTTTGATTTGTTTTGATTTTACGATAAAACATGTATTTTTACGAAATATATCCCTTATAGAAATTTAATACTGCAAGTGATTTTTTGGCTAGTGATTAATCATTTAAAAGCACTATTAAAAGCACTATTAACAGTATTGTAGTGCTTTTAAATGATTAATCACTAGCCAAAAAATCACTTGCAGTATTAAATTTCTATAAGGGATGTTTTAAAGAATATTTTTTATTCTCTACTATGTTGATAATTCTATATTTGATTTAATAAACATAAATAATATGCAGTGTACAGAAAAAGAAATTTCCTTTTATTAAATAATATTTTATGATTATTTTAATTAATATATAAATTTTTATGCATTTTTAATTCATATTTCGTATTTCATATGATTAGAATGAATGCTGTGGATCTGTACCACGCTACCAGAAATAGACAGCAGAACGTGGCAGGTAGCAAGAAGGTATTTTTCGTTCGTTGCCGTGAGTAAAATTATTCCATACATTTTGCATTTTGCATATGCGTGAATTATGATAATAGAATTGAAAAGTCGAAAATGCACAACATGCGACACATAAATGTTTCTATCGCATGTGCAAAACATAAATATACAGATCTTTAAATATACCTGGAACTCGTTCTTGGGCCTCCAAAGCGGCAGTTAAAAGTGCACACGCGTTTCCCGGACTTAAAGTAACAGACACGTGTTCCTCACAACTTCTCCAAAGTTCTTCTATACCAAGTTCTTGCGCCAGACCCAGCATTTCGAAAATTCCACTATCTTGTAGTATTATCTGCAATCAGTTAAAAGAAAACTTATAGTCACCATTATTTTATTTCAGTGTACAGTATAATAATAGACTTATAAAACTTTGTCACGAGATCTTATTATTTAAAATAGGTAAGATTTGGAAATATATATATTCTATGTGCACAATAATATGCACAATAATTATAACGTAACATCAAATTTTGAAAGATTCTATCAGAAAAAGAGACAGGATTAATTGTTTTACAAAATATGTTAAAAATCATAAAATTTTATTGATTTTTGTATAAAGATAAAACTCTGTGAGGGAGCGTTAACAAGACAGTGTTACAAAATTATCTATATTTAATATACAGGGTGTCTGTGCACTCAATGGCAAAACTGGTGCAAGTGGCACATGAAAACAAGCCGAAAATATCTAATAAACATATGTCCAAATCCAAAGGGTTTCAGCGTTATAGGGTATTGAAGTTGCTTTCGGAAGAAAACATAAATTGACGTAAATGTTGTTTAATGTTCTTTATTCTGTTTAAAAGCTGCTGTACCAGTTTTGGCACTGACAATCAGTACACAGACACTCTGTATGGATAATTTTGCTTCTTTTAGATGTCTAATTTTGCTGACTGAATGTAAAACTATTAAATACCACAACTAATACTTACCATACCGGTGTAGATGTAACGAATAAACTGGCGGAATGTTTCCGGATGCGCGTGTGGCATTCGCACCGGTGTTGGATTACCGGCTGTGCCGATTCTCTTGGCGGCCGTGAAGTTCTTACATCTGCAAAATAATTTTTGACAATGTCTGTCGAAATGACATGTCGACATTTCGAATACAATCAACTCTATGTATGTTTTCTTAAAACAAATAACGCGTCTTTCCGCCATTGCTCTACATGTTACTTTTCACGCGATGTTTTACACGTAACAAAAGGGCTTAATTGACTTCGTCATGAAACTGTCGAGACATACAAAACCGTGGTACAGCGCGGTAGAAGTGTGCTTTTCCCCTATCCTTAGAAATTAATGGCAACCTTCAGAAGCACCCTCACGCCTCGTGTCCCTCTGCGTTAGGATGGGAACAAGATAGTGGAGAATGCGTAGATCAAGAGAAACCCCATGTCGTCCATTAATTGTTCGATCTAGACCCTTCGAATGGTACGAGAAATTACGCGCTATTGGTGTAATAAACGCGAAAATATGCGTGGGATGTGACTGAAATTGGTCGCCAAACTTTGGCAGCATATTCTGCTCATCTTAAATTAAATAAAATCTATCTGAAGGATGCATTTCTGTAAGATGACGGCTTTGTCGATGTTTTTATTGTTATTTAAAACCAAAGATAGTTTTCCTCTAAATATGAATAGGCTATTTGAATTTTATGCTGGTAAATATTAAGCTTCTATTTTATTATTATTTTATCGATAATAAATTATGCGAAATTATGAGTCACACAAAGCAGACTCAATTTCAAATATTGTTATCGCATTTGTGTAAAATTCTGACACGATACACGAGTCAAATTTGTTTCACATTTGTTATCCAAATCGAGAAGCATAATATTGCAAGATAAATTGAAACGAGGGCTGACGCAACGTATAATTAAATAAAACTCGAATAAACGTCGTGCCTAGAAAAATACAGTCCGACTTAATAGTATCCTACTCGATATGTCGAATTGAAATTGGATTTAAGAGGTGGATGGTTTTCTAGTAACGAGAAAGAATGAGAAGTGAAGTTACAGGTTCCAGTCGACAGACGAGCGTAAATTGATTCGTTTTTCAATCGACTCAGACAGGCTTTGTTTTTATTCCGCGTAGTCTTAACAGCGTTAATTAGTTTTGCCAGACAGTCTTCTATAGAAAGAAAAAGAAACCAATGATAATTTATGCTTTCAATAACGACGCTTGAAAGTTAAATCCATTAATAGTCCTTATATTATTCTCCTTGCCTGTTATCCTGCGAGCACTCGTCACAAGCATTTTCTTTATGGAAGTTACCCCTCCCTATGCCATAATTTTTTTTTCACAAAGAGAGCTTTGTAAGATTATCTGGCTAACATTGATTTCAGATTTATCTTTTCAACTTTTTATTTTACGCGTATAAATGTATATCGTCTAGTTTAATATTCTTTCGCGATAAAAGATAAACGATAAACCTGATTAAAGAAATACAATTACGATCTAACTGATATATGCGTACGAATTAATATGTATATATCATAACATATCATACTCACTGTAATGTATTAGTATTATACACGTATTGATATTATTTTTGTGTTAGCGAAAGAAAAATTATTCACCAAATGCAGGTTGCATATCATGTGGCAATCAATTCATGTTACAAAGAACATCTATATAACTTGCTATTACTATTGTAGAATAATATAATGAATATTTTCCTATCTAGAAATGCATCTATAAATCTATAATAATTGGAGAGCTACTCTTAAAAAAATTTAACAGGATTCTAAAGCGCCGAGCGATAGGGCAAAGTACATCGGCGCTTTCCATCGAATCAAAAAGAACTGTGTCAAAAGACACGTAGGCGAAACAGTCTTTGAAGTCTAGCGTGAACTAGAGAAGCACGCAAAATATATGAAACGTCTAGGTCGCGTGAAGAAACCAGAGATAAAGTGGATGAAAAGCGCGAAAATATAGCCGAGCGTTCCGGTCTCGGTTAAGCTGAGCGTTTTCGACGGACGTGGTAAAAGTTTCGAGCTCTTGACGCGAAACACGAGAGTGTTGACGATGCGTACGAAATCAGGGAAGGGTGAAACGATGTTTATTCAAGTAAGTTTTGTAAATCATGGTTTTACACCAGAAAATATCACGTAGGAAATTGTCCTTGTGCTAAAATTATAAAAAATTATTTTGTCATCTGGCGAACTAACCACTCATATATCTAAATGGATTATAAAGTTTTGCAATTTATCTAACATTTTCACATACAGTCGTGATCAATTGTAAATAGCTTCACTTTAGTACTCAGTCACAATTATTGAAATTAAAATTATTGTAATGTAATTGCCTAAACGCAATTATAGTGCTATAACATTTTTATAATCCTCTTCAAACAGATTGAAAATATAGTTATTCGTTTTGCAATATATCGTAATATATCGTAAAAACTCGCGCTTAAATGTTGACACGGATTTGCCCCGCTATCCGAAAGTAGAACGTTCCTATGAAACCTTTCGTAAGCTGAAATGGCGTAAAGAGAAGACGCAATTACCATTAATTTATACG